GATACAGACCAAAAATGTCCACATTAGCTTATCAGCCACTGGTCATCCACCAAGTTTTGTGGCCAGTCATGGATACTGCATTCTGATTTTCTCTATTAAGATAATTAAGAAAGAAGGAATTTGGCAGATTTTGAAGTGTTGGTGAATTCAAATCAATATATTTGTTTTTATACATGCATTTGTAGGGAGTTGTTAATAAGTAGGTAAATCAAGGATTTTACATTATCTTTAGAAATTTTAATACTATATGAATGACAAAAATGAGTAAACAGAAAGATGCTGTAACGCGGGACGAGCGTCGGTAGAGATAATTAGAAATGAACAAAACAAACTAGTAAGTTACACAAATACAAACAATTTATTTACAATTAACACAAGCACATTTCACTAAACATTTCTATCATCTCTCCAGCATCCACTCATTCACATACATACATTTACATATTTTCACACATTGATTTCCATACAAAAGTTCACAGTTCCAAATAAGCCGGCTAATTGCATGGTACCAGTCAATGTTCCTTGTTTCAATAATATGACAGTTCCTGTGCTGTCTGCTCCTGTCTACTGTATGACACAATGGACCAATAGTCCTATCCTGGGTGACAACAGTCTCCGTATGTTTGACACCGCTGACCAACCGTAGCCTTTACTGACGGTGGAAATATAGGATGCGCGCTATGCGCTTCTCTCGAACCCTAGTGTCCACTAAGAGTTCCCTATCTGTACAGCTCTGGCTGACCCCTTCAGTGACCATGACTTGCCCGCTGTGGATGACCTGTGGCTGACCTTGACCCTTTGCATGGGACGGTCCTGATGCCCCGTTCGCATGTATCCACTGCAATGTCCAGATGTGGTCGTAATCCTCCTCAGGAAAGCTTAAACAATACCCAAAACAGCCATTACAATCTTGCATACTTCACCATTCAAGCAATTGATTCCTCACAAAATATCAACATGACAATTATATAATGACACAATCATATTCGACAATCTTAACACTGACGTGAGACTCTATGATATCTAGTAATGTAAACAGTTAAGTGATATACTATAATAACTATTATAACAATTAAACCTAATTCCGGTCCGGCGATACATAGTACCAAGTACACAGTCGAGTATGGCACCACGCGGCTTCCATACTTTTTACACTCTATCGAGACCTCACCTATACATAACGGTTTATCACTATTCCAATACATATCATCAACATTACAACACTATTACATTCGTACATAACTATGCATCGAGATATACATACTTATAAACCCATAAAGTATCTCTAAAAACATATTCATACAATTTAGCCTACATGCACGTGCTGTACTGTGGTAATCGCTCACTACCCAAGCGTCACGCATGACCGGACCGCACTATCCTATACGGCTCAATAGACGTTAACCGGACAATATTAGGACATAAAGATGGAAAAGTAGAGTTACATAAAGCTTATTACTAATATTACTTACCACAGTCTGTAACCTGTGCCTGTAACTACTGAGGTAGGCCGCTGTGAGTACTAAAACCCACGACAGGTGGCTATGGCGCGTCCACACTTACTGCATACTTCCCACCTCTCACAATGGAAAAGTGTGGGCAATAAATCACTTGCTACCACAGTCCACTGCACACATGATCCCCTTTCATGGCCAATCATGATTACATGACCATGAAAGGGTGTGTGCCCAGTGGACTGTGGTCACAAATGCTGTAAGAAAGGGGAGATAATCAATCAGTGAGTAACGATGAAGTCAATACAGTGGAAACGATAAACTTAGTTGACACATTTTAAAATAAGGGGGAAAAATGAAGTTAAAAATGGTAATTTCATGATTGAAAAACATAAAAAGATTTCCTTATCACGTGAGAGGATAAGCATTTCCTGGAAAAGTTTATAAAAGTTTATAATCTTTAGGAGCTGTTCCTTTATACAAAATTGCACATTCAAATATACCATTCATTGAAAGAACTGGAATTCCTTAGGGATTGTTAAACCCTTACATTGTATGTATGAAAATGGTTTCAATATCCTGTACCTTTGCCACATCTTGAAAATTAAACTGAAAATGTAGTCAGAAATTCAACATTGCTTCCCGTATTTTGTTCTAATTGTTGAACAGACACTCCTTACCTTCCCTGACACTGGAGCTGGATAGTAATCCAAAAACACTTGTATCCATTATGAAGGATACACTCAGACTGGGCTATTGAGAAT